GGGGGATCTGCACGGATGTAATAGGACTTCAAAGGGTCTTTGTACCGTTCATTTCAGATACAGTACGTTAAGGTCGGCCTCTAACTCGGTACATATCGTACCTAGGTATCCATCCATAATAAACTCACAGTGATCTCCCGCTAGCACAAATTTAGGTACTTGCACCTTCCGTACCTACATGTATCTTTAAGTGGAGTCCCTGGCTGGAATAATCCTAAGACTTATCTCTTTTTTTATCTTTTTTATTAGTTGCCCGGACCCATCTGACTTATCATCAACATCTCTTCTCTTGTTGTCTACTTTTACGAGGTGAAGTTATTTGGGAAAGAGAAGGTAGCCGAGAAAGATCGAAAAGAGAGAGCGAGTCAGAGTCAGAGGCAGAGGAATAGGAAAACCCGCAACATTTAGTTTTTTCGGTCATGTGTCAGTGAATCCAAAAAAAAAGGTTCATCAAAAATTAATTAACCCGCCGTTCTTCTTTATCCCCAATACCGAGAAACGAGTCGCCGATCGCAAATTCGAGACCCAGCCGCGGTATCAACTTGCCTAACTAAAAATTCTCCGTCGCGTGTTGATCATTTTATTACTTTTTTTCGTCTGTTTCCATCTCGCAATCCTTTTCCCTAGGCAATTTACAGTACATACCGTACATAGCAACCTGCGCACGCACACCCCTCGTCCTAGACCGTACATCGTATACAATTCTAGCTCGGACGACCCATACTCTATCTACATAACGCATATTACATCTCACACACACGTAACTGCAGCACGATACGTTACGTATCTCGTCTCGATATCATCCCTAACCGATCGGATTCTTAGACCTGGCCAATCATTGTGTCTGGGTCCCCAGTTTCGACCGAGCCAGTCGCGTATCGAGAAGAGGACAGGTTTGCCGTTTGCGGAGAGGGATAGCTCTGGAGCGCAAAGTCGAATAAACGAATCCTGACCGCAGCCTAAACCGATTCGAGCTTACATTGCAATTACTGCCGCGAAACACATGAAGCTGGCCGGGCTGTATTTGCGCGATACAAGGTCAAAATGGCGAAGCCAGTGGGTGAGGATAATTGGTTAGCTTATGTCGACGAGGAGAGCCGCCATGCTACCGATCTCGAGGCGCGCGTCAAGGTTGTTGAGCTCTTCAAGAGCGCTGTCTCATCCGAGCCGGGAAGTTTGAAGATCTGGCTATCTTACTGCGAATGGTTCTGGTCACTCTTTACCGATTGCCAGACGAGCGAGGCTGGATGGCCTGAGGAGGAGCGACAGCTAGGTCGCGAGCTTTTCTCTTTCGATGCCGCCCTTAGTCTTTGGAGCGAGGGCTACGAGGCCATCAAATACCGCATCAACGACAGCCACGAGTTTTGGAACCGCTGGGTCTCGATAGAGCTCGAGCAGCTGGCTAGAACTCGAACGCCCGTTGGCGTGAAGCGCATATCGCACCTCTTTCGCGACCGACTTCAGGTTCCTCACTCAACTTGGGACAACACTTCGCAGATGTTCTCTAGTTTCCTAAGCACGTATAACAATACCGCATACGAGTCTGAGTTCAAGGAGGTGACCGCTAGCGCGCAAGGAGCGAAGGCCGCGTACGAGGCAAGAGAGCCTTACGAGCTGAGGCTGAACAAGGCTACCAAGTCAGGTGATCAAGAAGCACAGAAGGCCATCATGAAAGAGTATCTGAGCTGGGAGATGTTGCAGGTAAAAAAGGCAAGGAATGTTGCACTGTCCGTATCACTGTGCTTCGGATTGTTTGCGAGAGCGCTGAGCGGCATATTTACTTTTGACGAAGAGGTTTGGAGCGACGCCGCCATCTATCTCTCCGGATTACAACAGCAGGCTAGAACATCAGCGCACCAATTGCCTCTCCCCAACTTGCTAGATTTCTACCAGCGGGCTACGTCGCACTGTCCGTGGTCTGGCCCCCTTTGGTCTCGGTACATCTTAACTGCCGAGGAAGCAGGCCTGTCTTTTCACAATGTCGAGTCGATCAAGCATGCCGCCACGAGTACGAAGGAACTCGACAAGAACGGCATGACGAGCGTTCTGGATATGTACACTGCCTGGTGCGGCTTCCTGAAGCGGACTGCCATGGACCCAAATGCCCCCGAGGACGCCGCCGACGTTGCCGAGGTCGGACTGCTGGCTGCTTTAGAGGATGTTGACCTATGGGGTAGGCGTTTATACAAGGACGCGTATCAAGGGGACCCTAACTACAGGCTACAGCGTATTCTCATCCAGTATCTTACCGAAGTAAAGGGTGAAATTGACGAGGCGCGCAGCCACTGGGATCGTATGACTAGCCAGTCTCTGCTGGCAGATAGCTACGATTTCTGGCTCAACTACTACCTCTGGGAGATGATGGTATATTCCTCCAAGCCGAAGCCCCGAAGTCCTACTCCAGCTACGCCGGTTGGTGGCACTAAAATCATACGAGTTCCGGGCCTCGCTACCAACGTCCTGCAACGTGCTATGGCGCGACCAAAGCTAGATTGGCCCGAGCGGATCATGGAGGTATACCTCCAGCATTGCAACGACTACGAGCGGTCCGATACTCTCCATCGCGCTCTCGACACAGTTTATCAAGCTCGGCAGGAGGTTGCCAAGCGCCGCGAACGAGAGAAAGCCGAGGCTGCTTACGCCTCCCATTTGCAACAAGCCCAGCAGCAGGAGCAAGCAGCCCTCAACTCGACCGTAGAGAACGCTGCGGCGCCGGAATCACCGTCTGGCTCTAAAAGGAAGCGAGAACCTACACCAGGCGACACGTCTCAGGGCTTAAACAAGCGAGTGAAGAGCGTAGAGGTTGATGGCATAAATAGCGCGGCCAACGAGCAGATGCTGAAACGTGACCGAGAAAATACTTCAGTCATGGTTACGAACCTACCTGTCGATGTGACGCAGACGGCTATTCGTAAATACTTCAGGGAATACGGGCACATTAACAATCTCGACGTTTACACGGAGAAGGACGGCGAGTCCAGTTCCGCTTTGATCGAATTTAAATCAACAGAGGATGTGCAGTCTGCTCTCTTGCGAGACCAGAAATTCTTCAACCAAAATCAGATCAACGTTAAACCCGGTACCGGCTTAACTCTCTTCGTATCTAACTACCCCCCTACCGCTGATGAAGAGTACATCCGCCGTCTCTTTCAAGACTGCGGCGAAGTCTTCAGCGTGCGCTTCCCGTCTCTCAAGTTCAATACCCATCGCCGATTCTGTTATGTTTCTTTTAAAGATCAGGAATCTGCTCACAAGGCGACGTTACTTAACGGAAAGCTCGTAGAAGGTAAATTTAAGTTGCAGTCCAGATACTCAGATCCCGGTCGGAAGAAGGACCGCGAAGGTGCCGTCGCAGAAGGTCGAGAGATTCGGCTCAGGAATGTAGACCCTTCTGCGAACGATATCGATCTTCAAGAAATGTGTGGCAAATACGGCAAGGTAGCATATGTGCGCATCATGAGAAATCTCGGCGGTAAAAGTCTCGGCACCGCATACGTTGCTTTCGAGACGAAGGACGCAGCCGAGAATGCTCTCGAGCTCGACAAGACTAAATTCAAGTCGCAAGTCCTCTCGGTCGAGTCTAGCAAAGAGACAAACTTCAAACCATTTGCCACGAGCAGAGGAGACCGGCCCTCAGCGTCGCCCGCTCCTAGCGGAGATGGTGACGTAAAAATGACGGACGGATTTGGCGAACCCGGCAGCGAAAGTCATAATCCGACGCGAAGGGAGATCAAGGAACGCACAATGGCCATCATGAACATACCGGATACCGTCAATGATGCGCGCGTCCGGGCTGCCGTCGAGAAACACGGCAATATTGTGAAACTTGTTCTACGACCTGACCATCAGGGTGCCATAGTCGAGTTTGCAGATGTGGCAACATCTGGACGAGCTGCATTAGCCCTAGAAGGATTCGAGATCGCACCTGGACGTCGGCTCCACACGGGCACTACGGAGGAACTGTTCGAGCAGAAGAGCGAAATAAAGGAGAGTAAGATCGTCACTGGCAAGGGGAAAATCTCTAATCAGAAAGGAGGTTCGAAGGAGGCTGGCTTCATACTCCCTCCTCAGAATGTTCGCAGACCGGCTCTCGCACGAGGTGGAGCGAAGCGAGGACTGGGCTTTGTCGCGGCGAAGAAAGATGACGACAAGGCGGACCATCAAGCCGCAGATACGAATGGCACCGGGCCTGCCGTGAAGCCCAAGAGCAATGCCGATTTCAAGGCCATGTTCCTCAACTCTGGAAAGGGAGGCAGTGGTGCTAACAAGGACGGCCAAGCTGGAGCCGCCCGAGTCAACGGGACAGGAAAGGCCTAAACAAATGGTAGACGGTGCATATGAGCATCTCATGATGCATGCATTCAACTAAACGGAGGCGAGGTAATTACGGAGCATGTTTTTGGCGCGGAAGTCGAGCAATAACCGTTGCTCGAGTTGATATTCCTTCCTTTGATACCCCCGGCATTAAGATTATCTAATTATTCTACGTGCGAGAGAAGTGGAGAAGACAGTAAGAAGATGAAAAATAAGAAAACGGGGTACGAAAGGCAAATGAACAGGCATGACATTCATGGCATCATCGGTTTTCGGTTTTCGGTCAGGTTGGGTTCGAGGTCGAACTCATTGGCAAGGGAGGTGAAAGGGGGGGGTTGGTACGAGGTGTTCTCGAGTATTCATCACAATGTCATTTCCAACAAGGGCTTCTTGTTTTGCATGTTTCTTCATACGCTCTCATCTGGCATTTAACCTGTTTATTTAGCTTAGTTGCATGGATGGGCGGATGGGCGGACGGGCTCATAGTCAATGTATTAGGTTACGTTAGTTATTAGGCTGAATTATATTTTCAGTTTATTTGAAGATAATGAAATCGACGTTTAGGTCGAGGTATTTCCTGCGTGATGTGTTTTACATGGTGCTGATAGGTCAGATGAAACATTCTCGTGTATTCCATCCATTCTATTCGTGTTGGAAAGATATAGGCTTAACATGCAAGCAGACACTGGGTTAGAAACCTTCACGAAGTGAATATGTATTCGAGCTGCTATTGCTGTACCTACTCTCCCTTCCACCAAAACATGCTCGCCTCCATAGAACTACGCGTGGGCTGAATCTATGAGAGTAAAATAGGGAGGCAAAGGGAAGATAATTCTAAACGCGGACGTGCAATACCTTTAGACCTATTTCGGTCTTCCAACTACTCATCCATCCCAGAACACGGTACATGTGATATCCACATACATACATACATACCTACCTGTATGTATACACGCAACCAGCCAATGTATTGTTTGCGTAATCTTTCATCTCCCTAGTCCGCCGATGCGGACTATGATAACCGTGACATCTACTCCGCCAACGCCGGCTTTTGCTTCCTAAACCGTAGAATCTCGACTACTTTCGGACAAGGCGTCGAAACGGCATCCTAGGCCTTACTGCCGAAGTCCTGGCTGAAGACGCGCTGCCATGCGTCGAGCCACTTCTCCTGCTGGGCCGTGAGCAGCTTGCCGGGCATGCGGAACGAGCGCGTGAGCACGTCGCGGAGCCGCGTTCGCAACGCTTTGATCGCGAGCATCGTCTTCCAGTCGGATACGCTAAAGCGCGCGCGGTTGCCGTCGAGCACGATGACGCCTGCGTACATCTTTTTTTCTAGTCAGTTTTTCCGTACGCAAGGAGGGTGTATCTGGCCTGAATGGTTGAAGAAAGGGGGTGATTATGGGGATACAGCCCGGACTGAGAGGAAGAAAGACGGGATGCTTACGTCAATACGCACGTCACCGCATAGCAGGGCGATGGCGAAATTCTCGACGGCCGTGGTCTCGTGAGCATTGAGAAACCTGTCTTATTAGTCCCTGAATATTTACAACGATCCGCATGTGCATATATAATAACTTACTGTTTTGACTGCATAATATGATAGTAGGATAACCACCGAAGCTCCATGCGCCCCTTGTTGACGCTCGACGGGTGGAGGCTGATACTCTGGTTGTTTCCGACGTTGCGAAATCCCTTACCTTCGCGCACCAAGAGTTTCGGATAAAAGCTCCACGCGATCACAGAAGCTGCGATGACGTCGTTGTCGCTGTGGATATTAACACGCTGGGGAAGGTCGTAGAATTGACGTCGTCGGTTAGAGTATCGGAGACGGTTTAGCGTGCGTCGTTCATCGTCGGTAAGTTGTAAGAAACCCGAGTCTGCGAGCGCAACAAGCAGCTGACCCTTCAGGTCCTCGATGTTGGAGAGCGTTTGTGGAGATAGGAAATTCTTCTTGCAATATTGAAAGTCGTTGTTAGATGCCTGGCACACCTTCTTCCAGCCTTGGTAAGCGTTATATACAGTAAGTAGGTCGGAATCACCCCTCCTGAACGCTTTACGCGCCTGGTCGGCTTGGCTTCGTTGACCAAAAGGCGCAGTAAACGGTGATTTAGATGATAAAATGGCGGCTACAGTAATAGCCATATCGAGACACTTGAAAATCGTACCCTGAAGGATAAGCTTGCCCAGGAATACGTCGAGAGGCAGCCTTGCTAATTGATGTCCTAATGGAGTTAATTCTTCAGTATTTGTAAGAGCTCGTACATCGATAAGAGCATCGATGGCTCTACGGATATTCTTAGCGGATGGCGCATCGAGCGCTTCACCTAACGTCTCCTCGATGCCACCGATCTTGCAGATTTTGACACGTATAGCTAGATCCTGTAATGAGAGCCGCAGCATCTCTGGCGTCTGCTGATCGCTCATCAAGTGATCATGTCGGTATTTTGTAAAAAGATGGAAGCAGAGGCCCTCTTGAACACGTCCTGCTCGTCCTCGTCGCTGTTTAGCGTTCGCTCTCGAGATGAACGTATCAATGAGACGCGACAACTGTCTCCTCTCGTCAAATCTCATCTCGCGATGCTTTCCAGTATCAATAACACAAGTTACGTCCGGAATGGTAATTCCAGTTTCTGCGATGTTGGTGGCTAACACGATTTTCCTTACTCCATCTGGGGGGATGAGGAATGCTCGTTCCTGGTCTTCGGTAGCGATGGTGGAGTGTAAGGGGAATATCTCCCAGCCCCTTTGGAAGAAAGGCTCACCCAGTAAGGAGTCATTTAGAGTCCTAATCTCGGCAATTCCGGGAAGAAATACTAGTATCGCCTTGCTATAATTTATGTAAGTCGGATCAACAGCTATTTGCCCAATCAGTTGCACGATGAGATCAAAATCAATTTGGTATTCGTCAAGTTGAGATAGTGTGTTTCGAGTTCTGGCCGAGTATTGTCGCAACTCCTTAGCGGCGGCCGTAGTAGTGTTAGAATCAGCAGCGTCAATCTCTGCTGGGTCATCGTCCAAGTCTGTCATCTTCTCGTGGCTAAGCTGGTCAGGTACATAACCAGTAGCCTCGAGAGCGTCCTCTAGATATTTAACTTGCACCGGGAACGTACGACCGGGCACATTCAGAATGGGTGCACGTCCCAAGTAGTTCGAGAACCTCTCCGCATCGACAGTGGCAGACATGAGGACCACCTTTAGGTCTTTTCTTCGAATCAGTAGCTTCTTCAGTACAATTAGCAAGAAATCAGAATCGATCGAGCGCTCGTGGACTTCGTCAAGGACGAGATGAGTGATTTCGCGTAGTTCATTGGACCCCTCGAGCATCCTCATCACTATACCGGTTGTGGCATAGACGAGCCGAGTCTCCTTTGACGTATTCGCTTCTAGACGAATAGAATAACCCACGAGAGATCTCGAGGTACCAACATCACTCCTTCCTTCGCCGAGCTCTTCGCTGACGCGACGGGCGAGCGAGATGGCGGATATACGTCGAGGCTCTGTGCAATAAATCTTGCACGGTCGGCCTTGAGATAACTGATGTTCTAAAAGGAACGATGGCACCTGTGTGCTCTTACCGCTGAGCGAATTAGACCGGTTAGCTAAGACGTTCATACTTTGGAATGTAGACATACCATCCTGTTTCTCCGCAGATGATAACGACCTGTTCGCGCTCGACAGCACTGAGGACCTGGTCTCTAAAATGCCACATCGGGAGTTGCATTCGGAATTGCTAAATATGTTAGATGATATGCCCCAAGAGATCCAATAGAGAACTAACCAGCATAGATTGGAATCTCGGCGTACTGGACTTATCAGCCCATATCCTCTGGTAGTATTCCGACCCGATTGTGTTCGCGGCTCCTCTCTCTGCGTTAAATTCGTCGCCTACTTCGTTGGTACTGCGCTGTGAAGCGCGCCCCCTGAAAGCGCCTTGAAGAAGTACGCCATCTTCGAGTTCTTGATCATGCTTTTCGCGAACTAATGCGCGAAGTTCCCTAATCGCTGCTCGGTCTGCAGCATCAGTCCGGTTCTTCTTCTCCTCTGCGAGCTCCGACCATAATTCTCTCCACGCCGCAGGTAGTCGCATAAAAACCTTCTCTTCCTTAGTGGAACCAAAAACCACGAAGAGTGCTAAAGTAGCAATATATGCTTCGGACTGCTTAGAGTCAGGGGTCGCTATAGAAGCCATCTGGAAAACGAATTGTTGAGGAGAAATAGCACTCTCAATAGACGGAATTTCAGGAACTGGTATGAGCTCCTGCGGTTTAGACCATTGGATAGAAACTAGATGGCGGTGGGAATATGGATTCTCAGATACAAGTTTATATATAATCTTGGCGGACGAGTCCCTGAATAAAAAATTTAGCGGACATTAAGAGGCAGAAGCATCTCAAAATACCTTGATCTGCAAGCTTCCTCTAAAGCACGCATCGGGCTAACGCCCGTCCACTTACCAAAATCGCGAATTGTGATTCTGACACCATCTGTTCCATTGATTACGGTCGTTGTCTTGCCCGTTATAGCATCGGTTTCTTGAACGGGGAGGTTCGCAAAAAGGTCAGATAGAGCTTGATCGTCATCGTCGTCATCCTGCTGTAAGATCTCCGCTGCGATTCGTTGGGCTTCCTTAGTAACCTCATCATCATCATCATCCGACTCTGCCCCATGGGATATGTCGGGGTTTTCCTTCGCCTCATCTTCAGCTTCCGCTTCAGCTTCCGCCTTCTTCTTGGCTGCGAATTCCTTCTCCAGCTCTATACGATCCGCACGCCATTGGTGCTCGGCAAGAATCTTATCAAAAAGTACATCTTGTTCAATTTTTTCGATCTTTGCTAGTAATTTGGCTTCTTCTAAATCGTCGCCTGATAGTTCCGCGGTGGAATGTTTTATGCTATTTGAGTTATGATTCTTGGTCGATTTCCCCTTTTTATTATCCTGCTTTGGTCGCTGGAGTTGGAATAATTTGGCCTTAGATTCAAGATAAGCAGGGATGAGATCATCAGGCTCAATGTCTTCATGGCAGACGATGGCAACTTTCTTTGAAGTGGCTGATTTTAGAGCTGGTGTTCCATTCTTGGAACTGGCGAGTTTCTGCCCGCTATTGATATCTAAAAGACGAGGGGTATTCGCACCAGACGGTAAAGGACTGTCCGCGGGTGTATCTGCTTGGGACTTCGCGGGCCTACCCCTATAATCGTAATCGTGGAGCTCGTCTCTCGTGCATTCGCGGGCGAGCCAGTCCAGAGCTTCCTCCAAACCCCAAATGTTATCCTTACTCGTGCTACCGATAGAGACAGCAATATCAAGTACGTGTTGTAGTACGGCCTTAACCTTGTCCTCGGAAAAGCTGGCGCCCGTCAGGGTCTGCTGCAGGGTCCACAACCTAATCACCAAATCTTCCTCCGAGGGTAACTTGCCGTTACTATTTGTACTCTCCGGTGCCAGTGAGGATGCACCGAACCGGTTTTCAGCCTGGATCAAATCCAAGATGTGGTCCATAAGCTCTTGAGGTAGCCATTTCCTAGTATTTAAAGGCTCGGCTTGTCCGCGAAGCAATCGACGATCAGTCTCGAGCCTAGACTTTTGGCGTTGGGCATCCCTCTTTACTTTCTGTGCATATTTCTCGACTAGAAGCTGCAGCTCGGACTCCTCTAACTGTCTCTCGAATTCTTCTGGGCTTAGAACCTCTTTCTGCTGAGAAGTTTGGGGTGTATTGTTGGAGTTAGGATTCGATGGTGGGGTATTGGGATCGCGAGATGACGACGTTGGAGGGGCATCGAGCTTCCCTCCCTCCGCAGCGGTTTGCGCCGGTTCTTTGGTAATTTCAGCTCGCGGTTTCGGTTTCGAGGCGATCGACGTTGTAGCAAAGCCTCGAGCAGGATTGGCTACTGGTTTCGTCTTCTTCTTTTTTGGGGCCATATTCTGCTGCTACGTAGGGAATGGGAAGAAGAAGAAAAGGCCGAATCTCACCCGCGCGAAAACACCAAAATTCGAAAGATAGAAAAAAAAGTTGTTACCGGTAAACGAGCTCTGATATTCAGGTGTAACGGTCATCATAGTGGCCGAGTGGGTAGTGACGGGCGTTGTGGGGAAGGGCTTTAGCGGCTAGGCGGGTAGGCCGGGATTATAGTAGGTGGTGCTCTCAGTTTGGCAATTATAGGCTGCTGAAAGGTCGCTTAAAGTTGAGTCATTCGCCGTTGCAAGTCACAGGAAGCTACAAGGTTAGCACCTATAATGCCTAATGCACCTAAGATATTTGATAAGATAAGCTACCTCCTAGGTAGAAATAATAATAACCCCACCGATATTTTCAACCCACATGGGCACATCACCAAATATGAACCCGACGAAGGCTAATGTCACGATAAATCGGCCCTCTGCATATTTTCCTAGCCTACTCCCATATTTTAACCCTGTGCGATAAGGGGGGACGCTGCTAAGGGGCCATTTCTCAACTTCCCTATCATGTCAATAGATCTTCCATCGGTCCGTCAAAATGACTGAAGCGGCTGCGAATGGTGCCTCTAAAGCTGGCATCGACTTTCTTTCAGCCAAGCCTGCTCTCTTTTCCTCTTCTACCAAGATCCGTATAGCCCAATTAAGAACGATTACCGAAAAGTTAGGGGACAAGAGTAAGGCATATTAGCTTTTTCCTTGTTATTTTTGTACTATTCAAGTCCCGTCTTTATAATATTGTTATATGCTGATGTCTTTACTCGTATATAGCTATCGATCAGTCCTCAATACCTACGCTGCTCCAATTGCTTTTTGATACCCACCGTTTATACGATGATAGACCTTCTAGGAGAGCCGTCGAGTCTTGCCTTGCTTCCGTCTTCGCGACAACTAGCGATGCTAAGGTGCTGACGCCATTTATTACTTCTCTGCGACAGGAGTCTCAGAAGCCCGGAATAGCTGCCAGAAATGCGTTTGTCTTGGTCGAATGGTGTTCTATTCTCTTACAAGAACTGGCTGGCAAGCCTTTATGGGACAAATTCGGGCTGGAAATTGTTTATACCGACGCTGCCGCCCTTGAAAAATGCCTTCAGTCGACAACCAGATCGAACGTCGCGCAGTCGGCTTTAGTGGTTACTCGTCGTGGTTTGCGCGCAGCGTTCTGGCGCGGCGAGTTCCGGGAGAAAGTGATCCAGGACGCTGTGAAGGCCCTTACGACTAAAGGGGCTCAGCCGACTGCGAGGAATGCTATCATACTTGGCGTAATCGCGGGAGTGAGTTCTCGACATGCTGAAGCCAAGGATGTATTGGCTACTACGAAGCCGGAATATTTTACCTTTTTTACTAGAGAGCTTGTAGGGTCTCGCACACCCATCCCTGCTCATATTGCGACTGGCCTGGACGATTTCTTTTCCGACTTTGTCACCCTAGACGATTTGGATAAGGACATTATACCCCCTATCGAGAAAGGTCTCTTACGAGCTCCGGAAGTGGTTTTGGATTTATTAGCATCGTTGATTCGAGCCCTCCCCAAAACCTTGGATCTTTCGCAGGCTTTGAACGGACGTCTTCTGAAACCCCTATTATCAAATGCCAAGTCTAGCAATGCGACGATTCGCGACGGCGTTTTAGCCGCCTTTAGAGAGGCCGTGGCTCGAAGTCACGATGAAAAACTGGCAGATCAAGTTGCCGAGGAGATTTTGAATCCCCTTAAATCCGGAAAACTGGCTTCTGCGGACCATCGCATTCTTCATTCACAGATGCTAGACCACGTGCCATTATCTAACTCGATCGCAACCAAGATAGCTACTGGTCTTCCTCCTATCGCAACCAAAGAAGGAAACGAAGGGGCTCTGGGGGCAGAAATATCTGTCATTGGTAGAGCCGTCTCTTATCTATTGAATGACGGTACCGATTTACCGAAGCCTGTCGTCGATGCATTTGTCAAAGGTCTCGGCGACAAAAAGATACCTTCGCGCAGACTATGGCTACTTCGAGCTGGAGAAGTGTTCGTGCCTTTTACACAAGAAGCTCAGTCTGTCTCGGAAAATGCAGCCAAGTTGGTCGAGGCTATTTCGGGGCCACTCGCAGATACGTGGGCTGAAATTACCAAGAATCCGGCAGCGGCGGCCCAGAGTGGCTTGATCGTAGGCGCATACGTCTCTTCGGTTCTGTCCCTGCAAGTCTTGTCTAAGACCGGCAGTGTTACTGTCAAACCTGCCCTCAAGAAGCCAGCTGTTTCAAAGGAATGTCTCGTGGCCGACCCCAAGCCTTCGTTTCTCCTCAATCACCGAGTATATGGTCGACTATCTACGGAAGACGATGCGAGATGGTTTCTGCGAGCGCTCGCAGCTATCTATAATGATGTACCAAAAGCCCCTAAAAATGTGCAAGTAGTCTGGTTTCAAGCCCTCATTTATCTTGTATCCTCAACCACCGTACCTCCCCAGGTTCGCAAGGAGGCCAGCGAAACTATTTCAAGGCTTTACGTCCGAGACCCAAGCTTCTTTGCAGAAATTGCTATTGATGGATTATGGCGATGGGTCGAATCATCTCACATGGAGGATAAGGACAGCATAGCAGCAAGCGCCAAATTTGAAAATGCTCATTTGCATCTAATCCTTAGGTCGATCTGCCTAAGTGATGACGAATTCGAACAATTGGGTGCCCAGAAATCTCAAGAAGGATTGGCCAAGCAGATGTGTTCATTACTCGTTATCGCCCGGAACGATCTGGTACCCAGAGCAAGCTGGATAGATCTTTGTCTGAGAGTCGGCCTCGACCCTGGAAGCCTAGCCCAGAAATACGAAGAGGAATTACTACGGCAGATAATAGAAAAAACAAGTTTTGACCAGAAGGTGAGCAAGTGTGTAGCTGAGAATTAGAATATAAGACTAACGAATGCAGTCGAGCGCAATCAAGCAGGCCGCTTGCAACGCAGCAGCGGACCTCGCATTTGTAGCACCGAATACTATGACGCCAAAGATTGTCGAGCTCATCCGGGAAGATCTAACGACGGAGGAGCTCAAATATATCGGTCCCGTCGAAGCGGCAATATTTCGAACTCCAGAAGGTACAGCCTTTATCGACGTCCTCGCGAAAAAGCAGACGCTTCCGGACAAGAATACTAAGGACTATGATACATTGAAATGGGAGGAGGAACTCAGAAGTCAACTGGCACAGAAAAAGGGGCAGCAGAGGAAGCTTACTGCCGACGAGCAGGCCAAGGTCAATGCTCAGCTGAAGAAAGAGTCCGAAATTCGACGGAAGATTCAGCATCTGGAATCACGACTCATACGCGGTTTCGGTATCATCAGAAACCTCGTCAGCAGCCCACCGACAGAGCCGAACCTATGGATTGGTCCTTCAATTAGCGCTCTGCTAGCAGCCTTGGAAGCTGGTGCGGGTCTCATCACTGGTGATGCGGGCCCTACAGCTTACTTGGCATGTTCTGATCGTGTCACTCCCCGACTAGGGGCTATTCGGCCTTTCATCGGCGTCGCAACTCTGCGTGCTCTCGGGATTACTTCTCTGCCGGAGAATATGACGGAGGAGGGCTTAGAGGAACTCGTAACGAGAGTCCTATATCGCCTTCGCTTCGCCGGCGAGCAGCGGCCGTTTGATGCCATCTCCGTAATTTACATGCTATCTTTGATATTTGTGATATTACGAACAGGCGGCGTCGGGAATGGTGCCGACGAACGAGACGCTCAGCTGGTGTTGGCGATTGAGTTCCTTGCGTTCCATACTCATGTATGCGCCGACGAGACAATCCCGCGTGCCGATCTGATATCTACGCTGGTATCCTCGATGCAGAAATACAACCAACACTATAAGATCATAAAGGATTGCTTTTCGGATATGGTCCGCTGCGTTGCCCCGAACATTAGTATCAACGAGATGACCGTCCTCGCGAAAGGCGCAATTGTCCCACAAGCTTCGGTCCGCGAGACTGTTCTGCAGTCGATCAGCGCCGATGTTGATATGAGCGATCTCGATTTCTCGGAGGAAATCTGGATCGCTTGCCACGATGATATCCCCGAAAACGTCGACCTTGGTCACGATATTTGGGAAGAGAGCGGTTTCAAGCTCTCCAAAGATGTTCCTTTCAAATTGCTCCCATATCTCGAGAGCAAAGATGCCCAGCTTAGGAGGGCTGCTGCGCGGTCCCTCGCTGAGGCATGCAAAGCGTACCCTTCAACCATCGATGAAATACTGGCAAAGCTCCGATCTTCATATGTCGAATTTGCTAAGCCCCGTGTTGCCCAGCTAGACGAATACGGAATGCCTAAGAAAACAGATTTATCAGATCCCTGGGAAGCGCGACACGGTTTTGCGGCGGCATTCAGAGAACTTGCCGCCCATCTACAGAAATCACAGATCGATGACTTCTTTAACTTCCTCATCGAAGGTGGTCCTCTGGGCGACCAGAACGCTGCTGTACGCGGCGAGATGCTTGATGCGGCGCTTGTGGCTATTGACCTCCACGGCAGAGCGCTCCTAGATAAACTCATGAAGACATTCGAGCGCACACTCGCTGCGCCAGACAAGGGTTCGGAAGCGGCAGATCGTGTCAACGAGGCGATCATCGTTATGTACGGCGCTCTTGCTAGGCACTTGAAGCCCGGAGACGCAAAGATCCCGGTTGTTCTGGAGAGGCTACTTGCTACCTTGAGCACGCCGTCCGAAGCTGTGCAATACGCAGTGGCGGAATGCCTACCGCCTCTAGTACGGACCTGCGGCGACAAATCATCTAAATATTTCGAACAGCTTCTCGACACGCTCCTGACATCTAAGAAGTACGCTGAAAAACGAGGTGCCGCATACGGGTTAGCCGGCTTGGTTCAGGGGAGAGGTATCTCCGTGCTGCGAGATTATCGCATCCTCGTTACGCTAAAGAGCGCAACCGAAAACCGGAAGGAACCTCAGCAGCGCGAGGGTGCGTTCCTCGCGTTCGAACTCTTTGCGATACTTCTTGGCCGTTTGTTCGAGCCGTACGTCATTCAGATTGTGCCCCAACTTCTGTCTGGCTTCGGCGATACCAACGCAGATGTGAGAGACGCATGTCTAGCAGCAGCTAAGGCTTGCTTCGCGAAGCTCAGCTCGTACGGCGTTAAACATATTCTGCCGACTCTTCTTAACGGTCTCGATGACGATCAATGGCGTAGTAAACGTGGCGCATGTGATCTTCTGGGTGCTATGGCATACTTAGATCCCCAACAACTTGCGCAGAGCCTTCCCGATATCATACCGCCGCTTACAGGTGTGCTGAA